CCGCCCCACCGTGGGGTCCGCGGCAGCAGATTCCCGGCTCTGACCGCCTGACGCGCGTCCTGAAGGCGCGGGGCTTCGCGCTGGCCGGGGCGTCTCGGCGGCTCCGTCCGCAAGCTCCCGGCCCCTCCGCGACCCGTTCGTAGGGCGCGGCCTCCCGAGCGGGGCCTCCGCCTCCCGGCGGCTGGGGGCCGGCCCCGGGGTCCGCGGCCTTCGGACGCGCCGACGGCGCTGACGCTCCTGCGGCGGACCGGCCCCGTCTGTTCTGCCCGGAAAGACCCCGGGAAAAGTGAAACGGACTGTCCCCGAGTCGCTGTGCCAGCCGAGACTCAGACTGACTCTTGGCAAAACGGACTCGTTGGGCCCGGTCCGCGGGGCGCGTGTTGCGGCTCCTTTCCCACCGTTCGGTGCCCCAGACGGAGGCCCCGACCCAACCCCCAGGGACCGAGTCGGCCCGTGCCTGCCCCTGCCTCCCCCTGCCTCCCCAGCGCCCGCGCAGGCTGTGTGCATGCAGCTGCAGTCCTGAAGTGTGAGCTGTCGGTGTTGCCATTTGGGAACTGGAGCGTGCCCCAGTGACTCAAGGCTGGCGATGGTGGGTCCGGGAGGCGGTGGGTGTGGAGCCCTCCATCCGGTTCAGGGCTGCGGTGGTGCTTCATGCCGACCAGGGCTCGAGCTGCCCCCTGAGCCTGCTTCAGTGGAGATGAGGGGCGTAGGGCCTCCCGGCAGGAGAGGCAGACAATCCCTTGGGGGGGGGGGGCACTGTGGGTCCCATCTTCAAAAGGGCAGGCTGGCCTTTTTATATCAGAATGGTCAGCAGTTCCACACTGATAGTTCCCTAAAGCCCACCTGCACTCCAGAAAGTCAGACACCTCGTCCAAGGCTGTGTCTGTGTCATCCCTGATTGAGTCCTGGACCTTGCTGGCAGCTGTTGCCAGTGGCAGACTCCAGTGGCCGCCACTGTGGAGTGGCTTCTTCCCATCTCAGGGTCCAGCCTCCTCCAAAAGTTGACCTGTTTGGGGTCTTGGGTTATTCCCTTGGGAGGAGAGTAAGTATGGCAGTGGGTGGGGCTGCTGGCGGGGCACGGTGGTGGGTATGTTTGCATTGGCTCCTTTGTGGGGGTGTGACCTCGGGTGGCTTCTCAACCTCCGTGTGGCCCTCGTGTTTGCCCATCTTTGTCCCGAGTCATAGACTTGTCCCAAAACCTTATCCACCAAAGTACAAAGTAAGCTAGCCAGTGCCACTTGCTGTGTGTGTTTCTTACCAGAATACACGTGTACAGGTCACTTGGACTGCTAGACCAAATAGCAGAGGCAGTGACCCTCTGAATGGAGGTTTTTTTCTCGTAGTTCTGGAGGTGGAGGTCAGGTTCTGTTGACAGCACAGGCCTTCTGGTGCCCCTGAGCCTGGTGCACAGGACGATCTCTCCTGGAGTGGTCTCCTGCTAGATTTCTGGGTCTTTGCCACAGATACCACAACAGTCCAGAAGATGTGAACCTGTTCCTCTCAGAACCAAGTGTGTCAGGAAAGCTCTTGTTGCCACATTTTCTCTGAAATTTTGGGTGTGTTAAGACACCTCGGCTTAACTTATCTTGAGGTGTCCCAGAGCCTGCCCATGCCCCAGCTGGTCCTCACTGGGGGCCGTCTCTGGAGCAGCCTGACCTGGTTCTTGGGCAGGCCCTGTGTGCCAGCAAGACCTTGGGCTGAGAAGGGGGAGCCAGCCCTCCAGTCACAAGTGTGACCACATAGCCCCCAGGCACCAGGAGCAGAGAGGGCCTGAGACCAGGCCCTCACGAGGCACAGTTGTCTCCAGGCAACTCAATCCAGACTTCCCAGACTCCACATTCAGAGAGCCTATGAACTGTGGGTTGGTTCACCAGGGTCTGGGCTCATCCAGAAGGACCAGGGAGCACAGGTCCCCATGTTCTCCTTTTCCTTGACCCCACAGGCTCCTCTTGATTTCCATCATTCAGAGGTCCCAGGTGCCTGTGCAATGGCAGCAGCCAGGTTCCTGTCACCATCAGCAGGACCCCAGGTGAGCTGTCCTCAAAGGCCTGTGCAGCCACTCATGTCCCTGAGGACCCACTCCCAGGGCACCAATGTACGCTGCCTTCCCTGAACTCTGTGGCCCCTCCCGCTTCTGTCACCTCCCCCCACGCAGTTTCCCCTTCTGTCCCAGGGCGTCCCCCACTGCTGTGTCCTGGGGTGTCTCCCTGGAAACCTGTGTTGCTTGCATCCACTCAGTCCTGTTATGGAGACTTGTCCGACCAGCAACAGCCCTGTCGTTCCAGGCGAAGGTGACCTTCGAGGATGTGGCCGTGCTCCTCTCCCAGGAGGAGTGGGACCGCCTAGGCCCTGCTCAGCGGGGCCTCTACCGGCACGTGATGATGGAGACCTATGGGAACGTGGTCTCACTGGGTATGACCTTTCTGCAGGCTTGTGTGTGTGTGCAGGAGGCCATCCAGAGGCAGAGGTCACAGGGTAGAGGCCTTGGGTCAGATCCAGGTGCTTGACTCCTGTCCATCTCCCACCTGTAGACGGGGAGGGTTGGGTGGGGTGCTGGCATGCGTTGCACAGACGGAAGGGCTTTCCTACCATGAGCAGGACTTCCAGGATCCAAGCCTAATGTGATCTCCCAGCTGGAGCGAGGGGAAGAGCCGTGGGTACCGGATGAGCAGGGGCCTGAGCAGAGCAGGGATCTGGGCAGCAGCAGCTCAGGTAAGTTCTCCCACAGTTTGGGCATAACCTGCTCCCCTTGTTCTTTGAGACTTTGGACAGGCCCAGGTACCTTAGGCTGTGGCCACCTTGCATGGAACTTTAAATGTTTACTGGGTACTGCTACAGGAGGCAAGAAAACATGGAGCTACCCCCAAAACCAGCCCTGGGCTTCCTGGTGGCCATGGTCTGGCCTGGTGTAGCCCCTTACTTCTGATGTCGAAGCCACCATCATGTTCTCTGGCTCAGCCTACAAAGCCTCCGACTCTGAGACATCCCCCGTCCTGCAGGCACTCAGCACTGACCTGCAGACATCATCTCTGACCCAGCAGAGGTGGCCATCATGTCTCTCTCTCTTGCCCCTAGTGCATTCTCCAGACAGGTCACAGCCCCCATGCAGTCCCTGGTCCTGTGTCTTGTGGGCCTGCATGACACTTATATGTTTCCCCACCTGCACTGCAGTCACAGGCCTGGTGCTGTATCTGTCCCTGCAGCAAACACCTCCCATTGGTGGGGGTGGAGAGGGGGCTGCCACCCACTGCACTGTGCCCAGTGCACTTGCACAGGAAGGAAATGACCTCAGGCCAGCCTTGCAGTTCCCCATTGGGTGCAGCTTCACTGCCGTGTGCCATCAGTGAAGCCACCTTGGAGTGGCCCTTACTGTGCTTTTGAGTGGGGTTGATCTTTTCTACCCTGGGTTTGTTGTTTCAGAATGTGAAAACAAAGGAGAGCCCCCAAGCAGAGATTTGAGTCTGGTACCATTTGCTGCAGAGGAGACACCGATGGTTGTGGGGAAAACACAACTGGAGTGGATCGATGAAGAGAGCTGTGAACACAGCCAGAGCCACAGTTCAAGGCCAGGCCCTGGAGTTAAGGGGCTGGGCCAGAGCGAACCCATCACACCCCGTCAGGCCACATCTGCCGGGGAGAGGCCTTACAAGTGCGTGGAGTGTGGGAAGTGCTTTGGTCGGAGCTCCCACCTCCTCCAGCATCAGAGAACCCACACTGGAGAGAAGCCCTACGTGTGTGGAGTGTGTGGGAAGGCCTTCAGCCAAAGCTCAGTGCTGAGCAAACACAGGCGGATCCACACGGGGGAGAAACCCTATGAGTGTAATGAGTGTGGGAAGGCCTTTCGCGTGAGCTCAGATCTTGCTCAGCATCACAAAATCCACACGGGAGAGAAGCCCCACGAGTGTGTGGAGTGTGGGAAGGCCTTCACCCAGCTCTCCCACCTCATCCAGCACCAGCGCATTCACACGGGGGAACGGCCCTACGTGTGCCCACTGTGTGGAAAGGCTTTCAACCACAGCACTGTCCTGCGGAGCCACCAGCGGGTACACACCGGGGAGAAGCCACACGAGTGCAGCCAGTGTGGCCGGGCCTTCAGTGTGAAGAGGACGCTGCTGCAGCACCAGAGGGCGCACACTGGGGAGAAGCCCTACACCTGCAGCCAGTGTGGCCGGGCCTTCAGCGACCGCTCAGTGCTCATCCAGCACCACAATGTGCACAGTGGTGAGAAACCCTATGAATGTGGGGCCTGCGGGAAGGCCTTCAGCCACCGCTCCACCTTGATGAACCACGAGCGCATCCACACAGAGGAGAAGCCCTATGGCTGCTACGCTTGCGGGAAGGCCTTCGTGCAGCACTCACACTTGATCCAGCACCAGCGCGTTCACACAGGGGAGAAGCCCTACGTGTGTGCTGAATGTGGGCACGCCTTCAGCGCCCGCAGGTCTCTGGTACAGCATGAGAGGATCCACACTGGCGAGAGGCCCTTCAGGTGCTCGCAGTGTGGTAAGGCTTTCAGTCTCAAGGCAACCCTGATTGTGCACTTGCGGACCCACACCGGCGAGCGGCCCTACGAGTGCAGCCGCTGTGGCAAGGCTTTCAGCCAGTACTCAGTGCTTATCCAGCACCAGCGCATCCACACTGGCGAGCGGCCCTACGAGTGCGGGGAGTGTGGGCGTGCCTTCAACCAGCATGGACACCTCATCCAGCACCAGAAGGTACACCGAAAGGTGTGACCTCAGCTGCCACTGGGTCCATGTGCAGTTCACAGCAGGCCAGGAAGGGGCCAGCCAGAAGCAGCTTCTGTGGCCTCCACAAGATGCAATTGGGAACCCAGTGGACAGCAGCTATGCAGAGAAGCACTAAGCATGTTCTGTAGAAAAGCTTCAGAGGATGCCTGTTTTGGATTTGAATATGCTATAGCAAAGTCATATTGGTGAGAAATCACAACTTTGGTGTAGACGGCCAGAGTTCATTCCTTAACATCAGTTCACTTACAGTAGTGAAAGAAAAGCATAAGGACTTACATAACAAAACTCTTAAATTGCAAATAGAGGGTTTTTCCCCTTAGAACATCACATGCCTTTTCTATATAGTTACTCCCGTTATTTCGTTTAAAATTAGTGTTGGATTATTTTCAGTATTCTCTTAAAACATTAAAGTGCTGTATATAAAACTACCTGAAAAAAATGCCATCAAGCATCATGTAATATGTTTGTGACTCCTAACTGTGGGAATTACCTGTTTTTGTATGAAAAAAGGGAGAACTCCAAAGATAAATGAGAAACGAATTTAGAAACTTTATCTGGTGCTTTAAGTTTATTCAGGATCAGAGTGGATGTCCTAACTTAAGTGACGAGTTTTTCTTCAAAACTTGCCCTGATGGCCTGTGGGCTCTGTGCCAGAGGCCCTGTCGCTGTCATACTGAGTGGGTGCTTCAACTTGCGGTTACTTCAGAGTTACCAAAAGACAGTTCTTTGGCATATATCTTTTTTAGACAATTCTTCAGCTATTTTATTATTTTTTATTTCTATATTTAAGGGTTTGTTGCATTTTGTTTTTACTCCTGGTTACAAAGGAATCTGGTATTGTCATACTGTGATGAATCTGGTTTATTCATAGCTTAAATTTAACCTTCTCAAAAATTACTAGATCTGATGTAAGGACAGAGTCCTTGTAACTGAGTTTGTATCAGAGCCATTTCTAGTAGCAAATACAAGCTCCCGGCTGCTTCAGATTATCCTAAACATGCTAATTATCTGATGAGGAGTTTTTTTGTGTTTTTGTTTTTCCGAAACTATCAGCTGCTCTGGAAAGACCAAGCACTAAGGTGTTGCGCCTTAGCCCACACCAGTACGCTGTGAGCAGACATGGGGCAGAGGCTCTTGGCTGACATGGTACTTGAGAGGCCACTAACATCTTGATGCAGGAAAATCCCAATGGCGGGTGTCACCAGGCGTTGGGTATCACTTGAGGTGGTCAGCTGATGCTGCTGCAGAGTGGGTGATGGCACCTATTAGGTGACTTCACTAGGGTGTTGCTCTATGGAACCCATTTCACATGTGTTGCTTCAAAAATGACGCAGCTCTCACATCATGTTTTGGAGCGGCTGGGACTGCCACTGGTTGAAGAGGCTGGAACCCAAGGTGATGCCAGTGTTACTTCAGAGGAGCTGAAGTCACAGAACTAACATGATGAAACCTGGCAGTGAGGTGTTGCCTCAAGTTCCCCAGCGTCAGAAGCTGCCAGCCCTCCTGGACCAAGGTGCACAGCTCATCTGATTGGCTGCTGCTGCTGTGCACACATCACCACTGAGGGCAATGTCCAGCCACATGGGCGAGTCGTGCAGAGTGGAGGGTAAGCGAGTTTACTTACACTCGCCTTGCAGGATACATGCTGGGAAAGGCTTTCTGAGTTCATCATTATGCAGATGGTGAGTTCACCAAATAACCTGAGATACTGGAAGAAATCTTTCCAAGGCATAGGTTCATGCCTCCTCAGTGAGGCATATTTAACATTACTCTGCCTTTTCTTGCTACCAGCCTGTTGTTTGACCCTTTGTGAGCTTACAGATGGTGGGAAGTGAGCTGTCACCCTTACCTGGGGAGGGGCCCAGGCTCTGTGTTGTTGCCACTCACCTGCTGGAACTAATGAGACACACTGCCTCTTTCAGAAGTGGCACTGAGATAAACTTTTCGGCCATCTTTCTGCCTCTGACTTGGCAAGACTCCATGCTAATGGGTAGGTGTTTGTTTTAATTCGGAAGTCTGCATATCCTAAATAAAACTTATATTTCTCCTTACCACTGCGAGAAATTTGACAGTTCTCTAAATTTTATGTGGAAAACCTTTTAGTCCACCTGCAGTTTTATTTGTGTATAATGTGTAATTAAACATTTTCTCAATAAAAAGAAAATATTGTGGATGAAGGGAGATCATTGCAAATGATCTTCAAGTCATTAACAAGTGGAGTAACCCAAAAAGGGAAGAGCACCTAGGGAGGGTGACCTGTAACAATACCCAGGGCTGTAAGAAAGGTTAATGTTTTCACCCTCCCACCACCTATTAAAGTAGACATCTAGCAGCTACATAATTTTTAGCTTCCTTTTTATGTACCTTAAGGTGCTTCTGAGTTTTATAAGTCACAGCACTCCTTTTCAGTGAAGAATGACTATGTAAGCACTGGCTCTCCAGACTGTCCAAGGAGGCAAGACACTCCTGCAGGATAGGACAGGCAAGTTCTGGCCACAAAGGTCACTTTGTGGGGGAGACCTGGTAGGACCTTTACCGGGAGTTAGACTTGCCCTGGGCAGAGGGGACACTCCAGCCCAGCCCATCAGGGTTACTTTGGGAGACATTTGTTTCATGCTTCCAAATTCTTTGATTTTATTCATATAAAAGCTGAGGTGTAGGCCAGAGCTGTGGAGGATGAGAGGACTCTTCAGAGACAGTAGAAGAACAGGCAGATCTACCAAGACACTGCTGAGGGGCAGCAGGGGACAGCAGGGATCTGTCATACCTGTGGATCACTCCCTGGGCAGGGGTGGACTCAGGCCGCAGTGGCTGGCAATAGCTTCATAACTCAACATTTAACCCTTGTACCACCAGGGAGGACCCATGTTTTAAAAATTCTTGAGAAATTCAGGTGAGACGTGTGAAGATCATTACAAGACTACCCTCACTTCTGACACCAATATGCTTCAGTGACTGGAGCTCATGATGAAGCTGCACTGTGCATAGTATGGTTTGTTATGGAGGTGGTGGGGCACACATAGCCAGGAGAGGGCCACTGCAGAGCCTTTGCGCAGTCTTCTCAGCAAGAGGGCTCAGCCACACACTGCCCAGCACTGGGTACAGCGGATAAGGACATACACCTGAGCCTCAGTATCGGGTTTCACTGTGGCTTGGTGACACTGATACAGCTGGTTACCTGCTGACTGTCTTCAGATCTGGCTGATGCTCTGTGGCCCACAGTCCCACTGACAACTGCTGCATACTACCTGGATGGTTCAAGGTCACAGGTAAGTATGGACATCAGGGCACTCCAGCCACCAGCACAGACCAGCCCTCTTTAGGTGAGGTTAGTCCTTGCTACATGAGTGGTAACAGTGAATCAATGCAAAAATACATCAATGTCCTTTACATTTATCCTGTTCCTACAAGTTATGAAGACTCATGAGTTAAGGGCCAAAACAGAGTCACTGGGGGTGGGGGGGACCCTCTCTGGTGGTGCAACACGCTAAAGCTCAGCACTATAAAGCCAGCTGCAGCTCCTTCAGCATGGTTTCAATCCCCAGCCAGAAGTGAGCCATGGCACAGCAGACCCCTCCTGACAAGCCTGCTGCTCCCCTCCACAGTGTGTTTTGTCACCCTGCCTGTAAAGCTCCCCACTCTGTCTCTGGTGAATTCTCTCACCCCTGCACCTCTAACCTGTACCACAGTTCTGTGTGCATGAATAAATCTTTTTAAACAACAAAGAATATGGTGATACATTTTATAGACTAAAATATATCAGTTGAATAGAAACTGAAGAATACTTCAGTGTTTGAACAGCAGATAATGGGCAGGCAGGAGAAAGTATCTGAACTTGCAGACAATTGAAATTATCCAGTAAGAGAAGCAAAAAGAAGAATCCTGAGAAAACCATGAAACACCATTAAATCTATCAATGCACACATCAAAGGATAACCAGAAGGAAAAGGGACAAATCTATTCGAAGAAATAATGGCAAGGGAATTCAAAAACCTGAAGTTACAAAAATTCATGTCAAGGAAACAGTCCAAACAGGATTAACCTCTAAGAGACCTACATAAATCACATTTTAGTCCAGCTATCAAAACCCAAAGACAATCATTTGGAAGCTGCAAAAGGAAAGCAATTCCTCAGTGGAAAAATTGCTTCTTAGATTAGCAACTGAGTTCTCAGAAACTCTGGAGGGTAGAAGTTTATGATGTGTTTACAGACCTGAAGGGGGCAGAGAGACCGCCAACCAAGAATTTGACATACAGGGCCTCCCTGGAGGTGCATGGATTAAGTCCCAGTGCTATAAAGCTATCAGCCACCACTGCAGCATGAGTTCAATCCCTGAACAGGGAGTGACTCTCAGGGCTCAGCAGACTCCCCATCCTCCACTGTCTCTCAACAGTAGGTTTCAGGGAATCCACGTGTTCTGCTCCCCACTGTCTCTAGAAGTCCTCTCACCCCTGCACCTCTGGCCCTTACACCAGCTCTTCTATTCATAAATAAGACCTTTGGGGGGAGGGGGAAAGCTAACAATGTAATTCAACAAAGTTGCAGAATACAAAATCAACACACAAAAATTAGTTGCACTTTATATATCCCACAAAAGATACTTAGATAACAATTCCACTCACAGGAACATTAAAATAAATAAAATACACAGGTATAAATATAACCAAGGAAACAAGAGCCTTGTCTACTGAAAACTAAAAACAAACCTCTCCTGTCTCACCAGCTGCTCCCCTCAGCAGTGTACTTTGTCTATCTGCCTGTTCTACTCCCCACTCTCGTAAATCCTCTCACTGCCCCTGCACCTCTGGCTTGTACCCCAGTTCTATATGCATAAATAAATCTTTGAAAAAATAAAACAGTTCTGGATGGTCTCTTTGGTGGCACAGGGGTCAGCCTCACCACTATCAAGCTATCGCCAGCCACTGGCCTGAGTTCGACCCACAGCCAAGGAGAGACCCACAAGATACAGACGACCCCGCCTGTCCCCCGCTGTCCCCTCAGCAGTGGGTCTCCATGGATCTGCCTGTTATGTTCCACACTCCTCTCATCCCTGCAACTCTAGCCTGCACCCCAGCTCTTCTGTGCATAAATTAATCCTTAAAAAAAATGCACAGCACATTAAAAATCTTATGTGTTATTCCCTCCAGTATGTACTTTACAGTATGAGGAAACAGCTACTGCAGTGCACCCAGGTGCTGAGGTGCCAGGAGCTAACAACACATGGTGCATCTGAAAACTACCCAGTCAGCACCTACAGGTTCTAAGTGGGAGCTTCTCCTTTTTGCTCACCTTTCTCAGTCTCTCTAAAGTAGTTAACGTGCTTTTGGTTTAAATTTGTTATTTTCAGTTAGCCAGAAATGTCCTTTCACTCTGTGACAAGAATGGAGTGTGGAGGAAGGACTCCAGGGCCCTCTACTGCCAGCACTAGAGGACTCCCAGAGGTGAGGTCTCTGATGGTAGCACATGTTGGAACTGTGCCAAAAGGCCCTCCCACACTCACCACACTTGTAGGCCTTCTCCCCAATGTGGACCCACTGGTGTTGGATGAGGTACGTGCCCTGGCTAAAAGGACTTCTTGCAGTTGTGGCATTTATATGGCTTTTCCCCATGGTGTGACCTCTGGTGGTGGATCAGTCTGGAGCTGTTAGGGAAGGCTCTTCCACACTCACAGCACTTGTAGGGCTTTTCCTCCAGTGTAGATCCTCTGATGCTGGATGTGTATGCTCTGGCTGAAGACGTTCCCACAGTCACTACATTCATAGGGTTTTTCTCCTATGTGGCTTCTCTGATGTTCAACAACTTTGGTCTTTTGGATGAAGGCTTTCTCACACTCATTACATTTATAGGGTTTCTCTCCAGTGTGAATTCTTTGATGCTGGATAAGGTTAGAACTTTGGGTAAAGCCTTTGCCACATTCTTTATACTCAAATGCCTTCTCTCCATTGTGAGTACGATGATGTCGAATAAGGATTGACCTATCACTGAAGGCTTTCCCACAGTCATTGCACTTATAGAGTTTCTCTCCAGTGTGGACCCTCTGATGGTAAATAAGAGCAGAGTAGGCACTGAAGTGTTTCTCACACTCACCACACTGGTAGGACTTCTCGCCAGTGTGAATCCATCGATGTCGATTAAGGATTGAGCTGTCGCTGAAGGCTTTCCCACAGTCATTGCACTTACAGGGTTTTTCTCCAGTGTGGGTTCTCTGATGATAAATAAGAGTAGGCACTGAAGTGTTTTCCACACTCACCACACTGGCATGGATTCTCCCCACTGTGAATCCTCTGATGTTTCATGAGGTTCTGTCTCTGATTAAATGTCTTCCCACATTCTCTGCACTGGTGTGTGATCTCCCGAGTACACCCTTCTATGACTCATGAACTCACAGCTCTGGCAGAGAGTGTTCCCATACTCCTCATGTCTGGGGCTTCTCTTCACTGTGCAGCTGCTGGTGCTTGACAAGGTTAGCAGTGTGCCTAAAGGCTTTCCACAGTAACCACAGTAAGAACGTTCTGGTCTTCTTTAACAACTCCATTTGCACTGACGATTTCTTCAGAATCATGAACTATATTTGGTTTTCTTAATCTATTTGCAAGCTTGTGCTCACTGAGATAGGACCTTTGTTCAAAACTGACCTCACATGTATCACAACTGTGAACTCTCTGACCAGGGAAGGGACCTTACCCCAATCTGAGGCCCCACCCTAGACGACTGGCAGTTCTCGCTGGTCACTGCAACTGGCCTGGTACCTTGCTGCTCTACCAGCTGGTCCAGGTTCTCCACTTGCTCCCTTAAATGTTCAGGGACTTCTCTCAGCCCAGATCTCTGGGGAATAGTCCCCCTGAATTCATCCAGGCCCACAGCAAACATCTCCCCTGAAGCCAACCCCTTGTCCTCAATCCTGGTCTCATGAGCTGAAAAAAAAACCGAACATCTCAGAATCACCTCTTCTGACTCTGGAAGGAAGTTAGGAAGCTACTGTTGACCACTTGCAGGGTGACAACTGGGTCACTTCTAAAGCCACAATCACCTTACAGAGCTGAGCACCTAGAGACAACAGGCTTATGGGCCTCACTTGGGGCCACAGCTATGAGGTAGCACATGCATTTAAACCCAAGGCTGACCAGTTGCAACATCTATGCCTTTCCTTCTTGTCTGCTGCCAACAGAACCTGCCTGAACGGGACTACAGGATGCCTGCCTTCATTACAGAGATAGAAGACGAGACTTCATAGCACCATGGAAACCAAGGGTGGGAGTCTCAAAAAGTCATGGAGGATATCTGACAAAACACTAAGACCAATGAGGTCTAATACTGCCTGACAGCAGCTAATCCCCCATTAAGTCCAAGGTAGAAAACCAGCAGCCTCCCCAGGAAAGCAGAGCACCAAGCTCCTGACCAGCCAGGAGGAGGGTGGAACAGAGGCCAGGGCCCCTCTCCTCTCCTTAGCAGTTAACATTTCCCAGGGCTGTAGGGCCACCTGGGTGAGTCTCCAGAACCACAACTTCAAGATGCTCACACAAAATCCCTCGTGGTACCCTCAAGCCACCACTCCTTCCTTTCTCAACAAATACCTCACCAACTGTACATGCAGGCACACACTAAGCCATGCTCTTTGAGATGAAGAAATACACAACAGTCTCACTGGGAATAAGCAAATGTCCTCCAAAAGTAAAACAGAAGTGGGGCCCTCCCTGAAGGTGCAACGGGTTAAAGCGCAGAGCTATAAAGCTAACCGCAGCCACTTCATCATAAGTTTGATCCCCAGCCAGAGACTGACCCACATAGTGCAGCAGACCTCTCCTGTCTCCTTGCTGCTCCTCTCCGCAGTGTATTTCACCACTTCTGCTTCCTACTCTGTGGCGATTCCTCTCCCCCATACTTCTGACCTACACCCCAGTATGCATAAAAAAATAAAGGGTTGCTATGGTTTTGAGAGATAACTATTTGGTTTAAAGAAAAAAAAAAAAGAACTGGTCATTTTAGTGAAATATTCTTAGTGAGACAGTGGTGAGGTAGAGTTACAACTGTCAAACCTAAAAGTGATAGACCAGAGAAAAGGCCTGTAGTATATGATGGTTGCTTTAAGAAACTGAAGGTAGCGCCCTCCCTGGTTGCTCAACAGGTTGGAGCACAACACTGGGAGGCTGGCTGGCCTCAGTGGCTTCAGCACGAGTTTGGTCCCCGGCCAGTGAGTGACCCACCTGGTGTGGCAGACCTCTCCTGTCTCCCTGCTGCTCCCCTGAGCAGTGGATTTCATTGATCTGCCAGCTCTGCTCCCCACTGTGTCTCTGGTGAATCCTCTCACTGCTCCCCCACCTCTAACCTGTGCCCCAGTTTTGTATGCACAAATCAACAAGTCTTTTAAAAAAAAATAGAACAGAAGTAACTGTGGCAAGTGCACTGGTCAGAACACTGCACAGCAATGGAGCAGAACTGCTGCACCAAGCTGTGCCGTGACCCTCTGCAGTCACCCGTTCTGCGTGGACCCAGGCAGACAGCACCACAGAGCAGGGCAAAGCAGCCTCCAGGAGCCAGAAGGGGGCCCAGTGGGAAGCAGTGGCAAATGATGGAGGAAGCCAGTGGGCTCCTGGACTAGAAATGAAACATCCTTTAATTTGGTAACTTTTTCTTCAAAACTTCACTGAGTTGTCAAATTATGGCTTGACTTATCTTTGTAAATACTTAAATCCTAATAAGCAAATTTATAAAAAGAGACAAGTCCTTTGAGTCAGTAGTTCCCCCCTAGGGTATCATGAAAGTACAGGAAAAAGATAGCTCGGGAAATGTCCACGGCAGTGACCAGTACACACCCTTCCTGCCGGCACCTCAACTAACAGCACAAGCGCGTATAGCTGGCCCTTGAATGTGCAGACTCAACCAGCTATGGGTGGGCGTGTCCTGTACTCAGGCTGATGATGGTCTGTACTAAGTTTGCAAGGACTTACTGTCTTTGTCCCCTGTACAGTAGAATATGACAACTACAACATCACAATTACAGTACAAAATCCAGCACAAAGTCTGGAGAAGGGGGCCTCCCTGGTGGGCTAGGGGCTTGGTCTCAAGCTGTCACCACTACAGCCCAAGTTTAATCCCTAGCCAGGGAGTGACCCACAGGGCTCAGCAGAACACTCATCTCCCTGCTGCTCCCTCACCAGTGTGTCTCAGTCTGTGCTGATCCCCACTCTGTCCCTGGGGAGTCCTCTCCCCCCACCCTCACCCCCTGCACCTCTAGCCTATACCCCAGCTTGTGTGCATGAATAAATAAATCTTTTTTCCTTAATTTTTTTAAAGATTTATTTATTTATTCGTACAGAACTGGAGTACAGGCCAGAGATGCGGAGGGTGAGAGGATCCACCAGAGACAGAGTGGGGTACAGAACAGGCAGATGGACGAAGTCCACTGCTGAGGGGAGCAGCGGGCGGGTCAGGAGAGGTCTGCCTCACCATGTGGATCTCCTCCAGGGCAGGCAGGGATTCAAACTCCTGCAGAAGTGGTTTAAGCTTCTCTGTGCTGTGCTTTAACCCGCTGCGCCGCCAGGGAGGGCCAAATAAATAAATCTTTAAAAAAAAAATCACGGGCCCTCCCTGGTGGCACAGCGGGTTAAAGCACAGCACTAAGAAGCTAAGGCCACTTCCAAGAGTTCGATCCCCACCTGCCCCGGACGTGATCCACATCGTGTGGCAGACCTCTCCTGACCCGCCCGCTGCTCCCCTCAGCAGTGGACTTTGTCCGTCGGCCGGTTCTGCTCCCCACTGTCTCTGGTGAATCCTCTCACCGCCCTTGCACCTCTGGACTGTACCCCAGCTCTGTGTGCACAAACAAATAAGTTTTTTTAAAAAAATAATCACACCACTTGGTGTAAGAACAGAACATCCCCAGATTTTGGTGCCTCGGGGGTCCTGGTACCAATCCCCCCAGAAGCTGAGGGACAACCGCACAAAAGTGGAAACACCCTCCGTGACAGCGGGCTGCAGAGCAGTGTATAGGGCCACTGCAGTCCCACTGAGACACAGCACCACGCGTGGGAGAGGGAAAGCGTCAGGAGGGGCAGCAGACCTGACAGCACCTATGACTGCAGGAAACACAGGACAGGGCGCCTGTGACCATCAGGTGGGCTGACGGAGACGAGGAACAAAGTATGGCCTCTGCCCCAGCCTCCACCAGTCGTCACAGCCCACAAATGACAGTGGTGGGCACCATGGGCCCACCCACTCAGACACCCTCTCCTGGTGGCATCTCCCAACACTGCCCTCTCTCACTCCCCACTGGCCACCCTGGCAGATCTGGTGACCACCATCAGTAGAGACCACCCTCGGGGTCTTTGTGCTGGCTCTGATGTGCCGTTCCCCACCTCCCGAATCATCAGCCAGATACCTGGACCCCACAGACGCCTGCTCAGTGACTGAACTAGGGGTGTAGACCCCTCACACAGTTGAGCCGTCAGTTGTCAGCTGTTTTCTCCCTTGACACCCCGAGTGTCCAGAGCCCACAGCTCATCCTCTCACTCCAACTGTGTCATTAGCCAGGCTTGGAAGCTGCAGGCCCAGCTCCTGTGAAAGGGACAGGGCCTAGAGTTGGTGCCAAGGCCCAGGGCTATACCAAGTGGTTTCAGCCTGCTTAGGGCTATAGGGAAGAGGAGAAGCATGAGCACAGTGGGGTAACAAAGTTTGGACAAGCTCTGGAAGGCTGGGGCTAGTCAGGAGATGAAGGCAAGGAAGAAAAGATCAGGGACTGCTTCCCACCAAGGAGGACAAATCTGAGGGGGATATGCTTCAGGCCTGGGGCAGGGAGGCCATCACACCTGGAAGCTCACAGGGAGGGAGGGGCCAACCCAGTCAACCCCTGAAGACACAGGCCTGCACAGACCAGAGTCAGGGACCTTTGGGCCCAGGAACTGTGGGCTGGCCCCCAATCTGCAACTGCCAAGCTCTCAACCTCAGGTTACTCCTGACCTGTATCCCAGTACTGGCCTTCACAAGTGAGACCAGGTTCCTGTAGGTCTCCAGCGTCACATCCCAGTAGAGGCCCCCCTGGGCAGGGCCCAGGAGTCCCCAGACCTCCTAGGAGAGGGGCATGACCATGTCTTGGAAGGTCACTTTGGCCTGAAATAACAGGACCCTGATGCAAACCCAGCGGTGGCACAGGGGGGGTACCGGGGGCCGGAGTGGCAGAAGCACAGGACTGCAAGCCTGACCCCCAACAAACTTGAGGGGCTGGCCCAACACTGGTTACTGAGCTGCTGATGTGAGGAGGCCTTTAGGGTCACCATTCCCCTGTGTTTGCAGCACCCCCAACCAGAAAAGACCAGATACAGCAGTTGGGAAGTGCTGGGTACATACCTCACCCCTCCTAGGGACAATGGATGCTCACGTGGGCCAGGGCAGACAGATGCAAAGCCACCATCGCCTGGAGCCCTGGGCCTTCCACAGATTCTGAAGGGAAAGAAAGGAAGGTGTCAGGGCTCACTGGCCTCTCGGTCAGCGGTCTGGGCCCGACTCCCACTGGCACGGCTGGCTCTCCAGGCACCCGCCCCTGCGACCGGTTGCCAGCCCACCCCTGCTCCTGCCTCTGCTGGGCATGGGCTCCTGCAGGCTCTTCAGTCACCTGCCCCTCACCACCAGGCTGTCTCCTTCAGGACATGAAAAAATGAAGACAACAAGTTAAATGTTAAGGAAGAAAGTTTTAAAAAAGTAGAAAACATAACCAACTATAAAAGGCAGAACACACAAATCTAGTGGAAACAAGTTCATTCGGTAAGTAATCGTAAGAATAAAAGGACTGAACTCACTTAGCAGAAGCAGAGCATTGTCCAGTTAGACATACGAGTTGTGGCTAGGGCAGTGAAGCTGAGGCCTGACAAGAGAGGGCCGTGGACCGCCCCCCCTGTGGTGGAGAGGTACTGCTCGGCAAGCGTGGGCAAACTGACCGTCTGTGCACACATGCTAAAAGACAAGCAGCAGTGTGAAAGGCATTTGGAAACATGGAGAGCAAAAACAAAGAATTTATTTCTAGGTATAATAAACAATGAACAACATGAACACAAGTGCAAGGTGCCCAGAGAAAATCAGACTCGCTGCAATAAGTAGCGGAAGAGATTTAATCTCATGAAGAATTCAAGAAGTGCAAATTAAAACCAGCTACGCTCCTCACTGTGGGGAGATATGTAAGACATTTCCCAGTGTCCAGTGCGAAGGACGACTGAGGGCCAGCCCTGTGGAGTTCTTGGGGCAGGGACTGAGCGGCCACTCTGGGGACCTCTCTGGCTCGGCCTCGTGGAGCCACGGGCCTGAAACCCTGCCATCAGGAGACTTCATTCTGGGCGCGTGTCTAGAATGCGGACACCCGAGGTGCCGCCACGTGCCCATGTACAGGAAGGCAGGGACGTGACCGCATCCTTAGGAGGCCGAGGGGCCAGCGCGGCTCTGCTCTGCGGTGGCCACAGGGCGCAGAGCTGGGGCGGGGCACCAACAGGGCCTGTGACCGTCGCCAAGTGCTGACAGCAAAGACAGAAACAAGCAACAGGGTGAAAGGACACAGCAATGGAGAAAATGTCTAGAAACAACGTACCTAAGGCATTCACAACCAAACCACGCCGAGTGCACCCTACTCAACAGCACAAACTAACAAAACGAAAGCGCGGCTTAACCTAGAAATGGGCGTTTCCTTAAGGAGGCACCAATGCCAGCATGAGCTACTCGGCAAGTGGCACCAGAGCAGCTGCCACGGGTCTGGGGCGGCTCTCCTCGCCAAAGCCACCCGGACGCGGGGCGGGGCGCACCCTGCGCTCGGGCGCCCACAAGGAGGCGCCTCCTCAAACACCGCGGGGCGCGAGGCCCCCCTGGGGCGCGCCCCGCGGAGTGTCCGAAGCGGACGGGCCCGGGACCTGGCGCCGCTCTCGCCACCGCGCGCTGCC